AAAATAAAACTACGGATATGCTTTAAAACGAGTTAACAAATTTCTTTATTAGAAAACTTTATTGATGATAGGACTCTGCGTCTAGGAGTCCAGGGCAGGTACTATCCTCTTACCTACTTCAGCCACCAAAAAGCAGTGTGTGCACCACTGTGTTGCGGTCTGAAGGATGAAACTACAGAATGTGTGACATTTCATCTTACGAGTAATTCTCTGAGGTGACAATGCATCTGTAGCTTTTTTATGTTGGTTGCAGATGATTATGGACTTATCGTTATGTAGATTAAGAGTTCGTTTGTCACTTCCGTTTTAAAAGAATATTCAAAACTCAAATTATTTGTATAAGAATAATTCATTTTTAAATATATATATTTATATAATACCTTGGTTAGAAATCAAAATAAATGTGTTGTCATCTCCGATTACTAAGATGAAATTCCTCGGTATCCGTTTTCAATGTCAATTCTTATTACTCATAAACTAAAACACAGCAGCATTATGTTGTTATTTTAAGCTGGTAAGCGAAGCCTTTCTTTAATTGATCCTATTAAGCCGTGCAACACCTGTATAACAGCCGTAAAAAGTTAAGCATAGTTTAGGTAATTCTATTAATCTGCTTGATCAAAAAAATAATTTTCTTTTTGTTGAGATCGTGACTTACATAAGTAGAAATTATTCCAAATTCTCAACAAGGGTGTCTAAAGATATGCTTTATAGTACTAGTTATCTATTATTCGGTGAGTTTGAATGTGTCCACTCATGTTTCAAATACCATTAGATACACTTTTTTATTATGTGCGAGCAGCTATGCAGATCTAGGGAAAGAGACCTATATCACTGCGATCTAGAAGATCTATTGTGATCGCTATAGTTCACGGCTAAGCCGTATGTCTTCAATGAATAGAAGGAGTTGCTTAGCCGTGAGCAATTTCACTTCTTCTGGGTGGAGTATATAGTTACCCAGATAAGTGTTACGTTTGCGCATTAAGGATCCGCAATCAGTTAAGATGTGTAGAGGCGTTTCTTCCGTTATGGAACAGAACCGACACATCCTTAAGTTGCTTAGTCCTAGGATAGACATGTGCTTTTTAAGACAACAGTGTCTAGTTAGGGCTCTTGCCAAAATGCACAATTAATTTTTACTTAATCTCAGGGCTTCTGAGGCGAATTTACAATCAAAAACCCAGATTAAGCCTGGTGTGTCAGACCAGATCTCAAGTGATTTATTGTGATAAATAGTTTCAAGGGTCAATCGGGTTAGGCTTCTTGAGATTCCGCAAAATGGCTCAGGTCCAAATTGTGTGCGCTTTGAGCCCTCCCGTGCAAGTTTGTCGACAAATTCGTTGCCTACAATATTCTCGTGACCCAGAACCCATCTTAAAAAGACCCTGTTGTTACACTCCAGGGCGTTTAAATGGTTCACGCAGTCTCCAACTAGCTTCGAGTTCACTAAGTTTGACCTCAGCGCTAGCAGTGCTGCTTGACTATCAGAGTTTATGTAAATTATATAGTTGACGTAGTGTATTTGCAGATTGATTTCCGCACACCGAAATATGGCGAAAATTTCTGCTTGGAAGTAGAGGTGTATCTACCAAATTCATGCTAAGTTTGAATTTGGGGCGTTCCCCGTAAATTCCAAAGCCTACATCTAGGCCCATTTCAGACCCATCGGTATACCATATGAGGCTACCGACCTCACAGATAACCTGGCCATTCAGCCAATCTTCTCCGGAGGGTAATTCCACCATATACTTTTTATCAAAAGTGTGTAGCGGACGCATGATACACTAGCATGTTTTTAAAAATATTACCATATCGGATGACGAAACCATACATCTTACAAGCTTTGTTAATAATATTTTCAATGTGTATACTTAGATGTAGTTTAGTGTCTCAAGTTACTCCAAAATCCCTGATTGCTACTTCTTGAGATAAGAGAGTACCACATAAATAGTAGATTCAAGAGCTGTTTTTTTTTTGTTGTAAAATTTATAGATTTACATTTATTAAGACTGAGTTCTAACTTATTTCTATTACAGTACGATGTGAAACGGTTTAAATTATCCTGGAATTCTTAATGGTCATTAGTGTTGTTGATAATTTTGTGTACCTTTAAGTCATCAGCATATAAAAGGAACCTACTTGAACGGAAGCACATATTAATGTCATTAATAAATATTATAAATAGAAAAGGACCAATAATAGATCCTTGTGGCACGCCCGAAATAATCGATACACATTCCGATTCGTGACCCCTAATAACCACTTTTTGCATTCTGTTTCAAATGTAAGATTTAAACCACCACCACAATAGATTACCTCTTATTCCATTATAGGCAATTATTTCTAATAGCATCTTATGGTCAACCCGGTCAAATACCTTGCGAAAATTTCTTGCTTACGTGCATCGAGAGCTTCAAATAGGAAGGTCGAGTAAATAATTAAATTAGTCACAGTGGATCGATTCTTAACAAAGTCATGCTGCTGTGGCAATATAACGTTACGTAAAAGCGGATAAACGGCGTTATGTACTAATCGTTCAAAAATCTTCGCTAACGTAGGTAGTATGGAGATGGGTCTATAATTTTCAACTTCTTTCTTAGACCCTCCTTTGTGTACGGGTACTATTCTAGCAGTTTTCCAGACTTTAGGAGAAATTCCACATTGCAAACATTTATTATACAAGAGGCATACCGGTTCATCAATAACCTCAGCAGTAGCTTTTAGAAACAGAGCATGGACATTGTCCACCCCTGCACCCTTTGATACATCTAACATCTCTAATTGGTTAGTGACTTCAAGTTGAGTGAGTTTGATGTCGTTTATAAGAATATCAGGTGTTTTAGTATCGTCAACAATGATATATTGAATATCAAAGTCGTCAATGACCATAGTTGCGCCAAAAACCGAATGAAAAAAGCTAGAAAATATTGAGCAAAAGTTTTCTACAAGGCTACAGAGCCACCCTATCTTTAAAATTAACAGTACTCGGTATGTCAGAGATCTTTTTACGATTTTTCAAATAAGTCCAAAAGAATTTACTGTTATCCCTAATACTACTCTCTACTTTACTAATATAGTTATTATAGCAACGCTCTGAAACTTTTTTGAATTTATTCCTGTATATGGAAAAGATATTGTAATTCGATTCACTTCGATATTTTTTCATTTTTGTCCAAGCCCGGTTTTTTTATTGTATATCTGAATTAATTCAGTCATAAACCAACAAGGGAAACGATTAGGTTTGACTCCTTTGATTGGCACATGTTTTTTAATAATTTTGTAAATTGTCTCATAAAAGCACGCAACAGCATCTTCGGCATCATTGTCCAAAAAAAGATTTTCCCAATCGATTTTTATAATTTCAAAATCTTTTATTTTATCATAGTTAGCCAATTTATAGCATTGTCGAAATGTTATATTATGTTCTAGGTATTTTTGTGATTCTGATAAAGTAATGAAAACTTCAAAAGGGGGGTGAAGAGCATCGAGAGGTACCAACGGTGACGTCACTGATGACAGGCTGCACTTAGTAGTATTTGTTATAGCTAAGTCTAGGATTCTGTTATTTTTATTAAGAATATAGTTCATCTGATGACCGTTTATTAGTGATATAAAATTAATTAAACACCAGCATGAGGGATTCAAGTTCAAATCTATTATAGGTACAAGGACCTGGCCGGTATTATTCCAGCCAAGATTCGGCAGATTAAAATCACCAATTATAATAAAAATTGCAGTCGATCCAGATAATCGGTTTTGTAATAAATTTAAAAAACAATTATATGTATCAAAATTTTAATTAGGTGGGATATAGACGGCTGAGAGAATATAAACATAGTTTGCAATACATAACTCTAGTAATAAAAAATCAACAAGAGGCGGGAGGGGCTCAAAGTCATGCGCCAGCGTTTCAAGACGAGCTACAGCACAAAGCGAACGGTCCACCGCTATCAGTTATCAGTATGCCTCCGCCGTCTTGCCGGCCGGTCGTTGCACGATTTCTGTCCTTTCTAAAAATATGATACCTATCGTCTATAAATTCATTGTCGCTGATATCCGCGTGTAACCAAGTTTCCGTTAATACAATTATGTCGTATGTATGAGAGATAATATTCATATAAATAGTATGCAGTTTAGTACGTAATCCTCGACAATTTTGGTAATATACAGTTAACATATTAGAATTGAATTTTGATTTATTGTATTATAACAAATAAGTAAAACCGTTCTGTGCAATATGCGGATAGAAAATGTTGTGAGGTATAAATAAAATATTAAGAACACAGAGCATATTGTGGCATGATAAAATGTGATAAGAAAAATTATGTTTAACAGTTTTCTGAATATGATTTTTATGATTTCATATGCGATATAGCCAAATACTTTTAGGTAAATTGTTATTGCCATCATAAACTGAGATCACAAAAACTTTTATTATGTATATACGAGTAGAATTATGAACGTGTGAGTTAGACAATGGTGAATTATTCGTTAAATTATCATAACAATAAGATGAATTCTTAATATTATTAGGGCTTAATTTTATTAATATCTTGTTCACTACGAATTGAGAATATGGGAGAAGTGTCGTTTTGACGAACCAGTATGGTACCATGTTTTATCCAGATAAATTTGTAATTGTTTTTCTGGCCACTTCACGACTGAGTATAAATAATTTCTTATTTTTGGGTGTCAGATGTTCATTTATGTAAATACTTCGCGAGGTACCTGATATAGTTCATTTCAAATAGGATGGCAGGATTCCACTTGAGACTTAGCAATTACAGCTGTAATGTTAATCTATTGTTGTGTGATTATTTTATTGCTTTAACCCTTGAAGTTAAGCATCTGTTGATAATACTGAACCAGTATAGCTGGAATGACGAATTTTGGTACTTGAACATTAAAAAAAATTAAATTGTAGATAAAAAAACCTTTATTACTTTTAACTTAACTATTTTAAATACTTATAACAACTTGTTAATATTTTTTTTAATCAATCACTCTGAAGAACATTCATCGGTATCTGTGTCCGGAAGATGATTAGATCCTGCTGACACTATTCTACAAACAGTTCTTATAGGCACGTTTGTTAATTCCGATGTCTCTTTAATCACTCCCTTATCATCCATGCGTTTCAAATGCTTATTGTAAACACTCAAAACTATGTCTTGAGCGTCTGAACTTAAATGTCTTTTTCTACGCTGAACACTATTTTCATCACTTGTAGATACACTATTTGATATTTCCCATGGTCGAAACATGTTTATTTGTACGTCTGTGTTATAACGAAGTTACAAGACGACTGAATTTTTGACAACAATGTCATCGTGTATTTAACAAAAGCATCAAAACTTGTTTGCTGCCACAAAAATACCACGTCAGAATAAGTTCTTCCCAGGTATCCGTTGTAAATACCACTTCTTTTGTTATCGCCTAATGACCGCTTCAAGTACAATCCTGCCATGCTATTTGAAATGAACTATACCAGTAGTTGATCTGATTTGACACATTTTACTACCCGCGCAGCAGCAATCACGTTATCCCGTATCATTTTGGTGTAGTATTTCACGATGACATTTTTCAGGTGGGGATTTTTTTTATCCATATGCGGCACTCTGTGCACTGATACTATGTCGGCAGGATTAATAGGGGACTTAATAATTGAGCCAATGTTTTGAAGTACAGCTATCAAATTTTCATCATGACGTTCTGGGAGATTGACAATTTCTATATTAGACTGCCTGACCTGTTGCTCCATCATGTCTATTTTAGATTCCAGCATTGATAACTGAGTGGAGACTTCTTTACGCCGCATCCTCCTGAGAATCCTCTCCCATCGTTTCTAAATGAGCGTCAAAAGCATCTTGCCTATTACTCATGTAGTTTACCGAATCATTCATATCGTTTAACCGGAGATTAAATTGGTTCAGGGTATTATTAATGGATGTTGTTAATTTGCATATTTCTCTCTCAAGTACCAGATTTACGGCATTCTTAACAGAGTCTGTGACTACCGCCTCAACGCTAACTTTAAAAGATTCCTTTTGGTTTGCTATTTTCAACTCTAACGTATTCATAATTGAGTTCAACTCGTCGGGTTAAGGTTGTTTGCGTTTATGCATATTAACAAAGATATTATTATCAGTTCAAGTTGAAGCGGTTGACAAGTCCGGATTAGATGAACACAACTTAAATTGATTAGGGGGAGTTAGCTGCATATTCGCCGTCATATCGTCGTCCTTTTCAAATCAAGCTAAGAATATGTTGAGCGGTCCTTTTTGTTATATGACACTTAGTCACGACGCAAGTGAGACAGTCAAACACAATTTAAAACCACTTGGTGCACTAGTCACACAAAATTGTTACTTATGGATGTTGCAATAGTTTCGATAGTCAAACTTTAAAAATATTGCAAATAATGGAACAGCGAAGTACACAACTGCTTGTAACAAGCTTCACGGACGGAATGATGGTAATATGTAATATTTAAAAATCCCTTGACTTACTTACATCTTTATAAATCCTTAATAAGATGTCATTTAGAGTATGCAGTGACTATTTGGAATCCTCTATAAAAATATATTGTTAAACTACAAATAGTGCAGAAGAAATTTCTTAAATATATCCATTATAAATATGCGAGAAAAAATACCGTACAATGAACTCATGGCAAAATATAATCTTACCACTCTTAAATCAAGGCGTACAATTCTCGAGGCAATGTTGTTTTATGATCTGTGTCACAATAGATACGACTGTATGGATATAACTGAGAGTATAAATTATAGGGTACCTACCAGAGCACATCATCGCGTGGTCCATTCTGATAAACTTTTTTGTATTAATTTGTGCCGAACTAACGCGGGACGAAGGTCCTCTTTATCACGTATGATGCACTCGTACAATGAGAACTTTAATGATATCGATATTAATGCCATTGGGCGAGGTAATTATAAGAAGATTATCACTGAAAAATTTAAACAAATACTCATCGTAGATAATGGAATATATGACACGACCATTTAAAAAAAACTAGTGAACAGTGGTGTCATATACTCTACCATAACCCTACAATATTTGTTAGTCGATACTGTGTTTAGATTTTATTTCTAGATTAAGAATAACAAGATATTGTCAATGTCAAGTTATACTCTGTAACAAGCTTTATTTATTGTTGAAAAAATGTTATAATTAAGTAAGTAACCAGCGTTGATGAGTTTACAATAATGAAAAAATGTGTAGTAATTATATTAGATAAGTTAATAATTGTGAACTTGTTTGTGGTCCTAAGTTTAATAAATAAAAAAGCATGTTGTCTTAAATCACTTTAAAGCCTCAAAAACTCAAAAATTACTAAGATAGAATTTACGACGACCACGAAGTGATTATTGACTTCCAGTACTAAAATTAAAAGGAAAATACATCAACGTTTCTATTAAGTAACAATTTAGGAAAGAGAAAATCTAGGATTTTATTTCTTTGGTCGTTGACTCGTGCGGTTGTACTTTTGGCGCTCTATAATGAAACGCTGCTAGTTTTGCTTATTGACAACAGGATTTGGCAAAAATTTGTACGTATCTAGTTGGAATCCTAAACAGAAAGGAGTTATATTACCTAAAAACAAACATAGGCCTAGCAATCATAGGTCTCCTTCAAAGAATGCGACAAATACACGGTCCCGAGTGACATGTATACAACGAATTCCTGTGGTCATTTTATCATTCTATCGGTACGATGTGACGCCGCCACTATAGAACCTTTCCTTCTAATCAGTTGTAAGTTTTAAGAGTTACATGGCAGGCACGGCTTGAGCGTTCTTATCCTTGAATATAATGGGGTTATGAAATTTCCGTTTTAAATTGAAAAAGTCAAATGTATTAGCCGGCCTGTTCGAATTTTATACTTTGCGAAACGCAGGATGCTTTCACGGTCATAATATTCCTTAATTTATCCTTCCCATATCCACCATTGGACAACCATTCGGTGATTATAGAATTAGAGTGACAAACGAGCTCACATTCTACCTGGTGGTAAATGGATACTGTAGCTCTTAGACATCCACCCTTGGTCACAAATCAAATGCGTTTTGACATATAAAGACTAAGACAGAATGCCCCGAAACCAGTAAAAGGGTATCCGGTTTTCTTTACTCGTAATACGAAACATAGTAGATTAACTCTTCTATATTTCGTAAGTATTCGGTGAAAACGGTCGAGCCGACACATTCGTGCTACAGCCATAATATATATGCAGCATGGTTCTACCACGTATAAACATACGTCACATTCAAAATAACGTATAAGTTTTTTAAGCATCCAAGGATTTGCAACTTCTGAAAACCAAGAAACATTTTTATATTTTAAACGATACCCAGGTTACTATGTTTGAAAACAGTTTATTGTTTAGTTAAAATTCCTCTAAAAGATATCAAGGGTTTTTTAAAAAGGAAAATGCGCTAAATCAAGCTGTGGCGGAAAATGAAAACCGAAAAATGGTATTGAAAATTACATCTATAAATTTATGGCAGCAGAAACAAATTTCTTATTTATGAATATTGTCTGGCATATCTCATATTTTTCACGGAATTATTTTATTTATATTTTTAAAAAAGTATTTGCGTCAATTAATCTACACATATAAATAAAATTAATCTATAATATTTAAATTACTGACTTCTAGTGAGAAAATAAGTTATTTACATGTAATTTGGACAGAAACAAACTTTTTATTGAAATTCTTGCCAGCCTATTTAGTAAAAATCTCAATTGCCGAAGATATTGCATAACATATATACAAACAATTTAACCTGTGTTCGGAAGGCGACTTTATTCGATACGCCGGTTGGCTCGCGACGTAAAATGGCGGGAATTGCAAATGTTTTGCTAACTTGCAAATTTTGCTATATTTTCACTTTGAGAGAATATTTATGGATAAAACTTACAGGGATTCTTATTGAATGAATAAAATATCGAATAAAATTATTTTAGTTGCTAGAAATTGTAATAAAATTCATAAATTACCCTTTATAGCATAGTAGTAGTAGATACTTCACTTTTAGTCTAAAGTTACTACTAATTTGAATTCTACACGTTTGTTTTTAGAGAAATCTATATGAAAATGTTTGGAAATATGTATATTTTTATGTTTTATGTGTTTCTATTCGTTACTCATACCAAAATATAAAAAAAAACGAAATTAAATTTATCTGTATGAGATTTCCGAACAATATTCCAAATATATTTTTGTGTGAATTTGAAATAAATACAACGTCAAGTTATTTGAAATATGTTATAAAACTATTTTTAGTTACATTTTACACTAAAAATAAATGAGAATTGGAAAAATAACACATTTTTGACCCAACCGCTAAAATGGGCCTTCTGGATTTCGAAGTACATTTGGCACTTACTTTTCACTTTTTATGCCACAAGTTATATATCTACATGTTTGTTTAATTACAAGGAATACACAAAGGTATAAAACTCACCTTTTTATTTCAAAAACACACAGAAAAAACGGAGAAATCACTCAGAAACGTACTACCACGCACTACTGTTGTAAAAAGCCAGTTTATTTATTAGGTCAGAATGATTTTTATGTCTATTTTTAGATTTTATTTTTTTCGAATATAGAACTTAGTATTTTTGAAGTCGGCGAAACAGAACCAAAAAGCAACGTTAGATTTACTTTTTAATTATGAGCTAGTTAACATCATAGGATTTATCTGCAAAGAGTTCTTAAATATGAACGGGCGACATTAAACAGTTTTGCAACGAGCTAAAATTAAAAAAAAAAAAGATCTTAAATGTAATATACATTTGCTTTTAGCATTGAAGGTGCTTATTTATCCTCCATGATAGACTTGGGAATACCTTAAGGATACAAATGTGGTGTTTTTTGTGTACGTAAAACACAGCTAGAGAGTTATACCTACTTCAGGATTGTTTTTGTTTAATATCGTTTTTTATTTGATTATACAATATATAATATTTACCTATGTACCGTTACAACCACTGCTGAAGATAGAACAAGTCTTTCCATCATCAGCATCACATTTTATATTTGCCATAGTTCCCACGCTTGGCAGGCGTGTTGGTTACTCACTTATTTTATTTATTTAAAACAAATTGTCACATATCAAGTGCACAATTTTCATTTTAATTAAGCAGAACATTTTAAGCAGGTGACACAAAAACATGGATACAACAAGTACACCAGTTGGAAAGTGGATGCTGTGGCCCATGGACATCTACCTTTATCCTCGATTAAAAATGAAAACGCAGATGCGTTGTTACCTCTGAGGATTAAGATTGAATGCCTCGTTTCCAGTAAAAAATACTCTCCGGATCTCCACACTCACCATACGGAACACAGCAGTATTAAGCTGCTATTTTACGCTGGTGTTCTGTGAGAGCGTGGTCCTAACCTGGTCGAGCCGACCCATTCGTGCTACAACTACAATATAGCTGCAGCGTGGCTCTACCACGTAAAAAAAATACATTACTAGTAACCACTCCAGGTAAACTTAAATTGTGTTTGGTGTGGTTCACGACAGTAAACGAATGTCGGATTTGAACCGTCTTCAAAATCTATTATGTAGTTATATTAAATAGTCATCCTTCATTTTTCTACCCTTCAGGGAAGATCCAGAATGCACGAGTTCCCGAAGGAAGGCGAATTAGGTTTTTGCCAATTCTGCCAACGTGCTCACATTGCATTGGCAATGACTCTTTTGAAGGACATGAAGGCGAAATTATACTTCTTTTTAAGAGCGCTGGAGTTTACATCCCGAGACGTTGATGTGTCAACCTAGGC